CCCCGTCGTTCTTGCTCTTTCTCTCCCCACGAAGTGCTTGGAGAATGGAGCATTATTTTGATTCCCTCGATCGTGAGTCAGGCCCATAAACCTGCCCGCGAGAAGTGGCTGTCGTCCGCCGCATATGTCACGTGGCTTACATCCGGCTCCAGCTCTACCTTCTCCCTTTGCGCGAAGACGGTGTTTTCCAACTCGCTCGAGTTCATTTGCATCGCGATCTGGGCAACGCCAGTCGGAGCGAACAACTCTCGAATTCGTTAAACTGACGTTTGGTCAATTTTTGTTATAAATAGTAGACGTGGCGTAATCATAATTCTATAGAATTATTAATATTATTAGCTTGCTTTGTGTGTTTAGGGAACACCACTGGGAATTACGAAAGCCTGAGTACAGCCTCCTCTACCTCCGCGTAATGTCATCACACTGGAGTGCAGTGCTGTACTCGTTACCGAAAAAAAAAAAAAAAGTAACGAAATAGCTTTACTCGTTAGCTTCATCAAACGTAACGAACGTTACTTTTGCATTACTTGGGATTCCGGTATTATTTGGAAGCAATAGGCAGAGGATACGAACAATTAAACTTCTACAGGGTGATTTCCTTTTGTTTTATATTTGTTTAACATATTTTACAATATATATATTTTATAATTTTGACTGCATAGACTATTGCTCTTCTTTTTTTCTTTTTTTTTTTCTTTCGCGGATAATCCACTGATATCCATGCGCGACCATTGGCTATGAAATAAGCGTTATGTGTGAATAAAACGGTTTCAGCAAAGACGGCAGCGTGCGTTGGCAGATTGTCTCCTGTTCGGAACGAATCTTGAGAATCTATTCAGTACGGCCTTATTACCTCTGTTTCACGGGCAGTTCAAACGCCTTCAGAGGGAACTCCTTTAAAGTATCAGCGACCCAGCACACGCCGATGTGCACGCTCAGTCTAAATCGCGAGCTGATTTGCCGATTTTCGACTCGAGTTGTCGTTCTGAAGACCTTTTAAATACCCGTAAAACAGGGGTGGTAGACTTGTGCCACGACGAATTTATGAGTGTTAAGAAATTTATTGGAACCCCCGTCAGGAAACGGAAAATTACTTAAAAGGACTGAATAAGTAGGTTTGTTCTTAGGGTTGCGCCAAATGCGGCGTAAATGCATTTTGTTTGTCCCTCGGAAGCAAATGGTGGCGCAGCAGTGAAGTGAGCGGCTCTTGAAAGCAAACGGCGTCGGAGCACTCACTCGTGGCGTTAACTGAACGCGAGAGAAGATATTAATCAAAATTAACGAGTAACGTAACGCGATGGACGGTACCGTAAAATAATACCGAAAACACGTTACTCCATTTAAAGATCTAACGAGTACGTTAGTGCGTTACTGAAAACACACACGCGTTAAGCCGGAGTGCGACAAGCTGATGAACTCTGACCCTGAGGCGTCCTGAGACCGGCATTCCGAAGTGGCCCGGAGCTTCAAGAACGCGCCGTCGCTCACGTTGCGAATTCGCTAGCGCTGCCTCGACCGTCTACGGCGCCTATTTTTCTTCCTGAATGTGCCACTCCGACGTGCAGCTGCGCGAACGGTGCGTCGTGATTCGGCTGTGCGGGAAGGCGGCAGCTGCATGG